CAAACAATACGAAAAACTGGTCGAAATTAGAACGCATATTTCTGGCTCAGTATTGGAAGAATTTGGCGCCAGCAAACAGAGACTGGCCCCAGGTTTTAGCTGTAGCTCCTGGTAACAAGCCTGTCGTCTGGCGCTATAGTTAAATGTCTGGCGCCAATGCTCTGGTCGCTGACGCTAATTCCTACATGCCTCAGCAGCTTTCTGTGCTCGATAAAATTTTCCAGTTTTGCGCTGTGTTATTTCGGTCCTAGTTGTGAAAGATATTTCTCAAATTTCCTACGTGTAAAATCCTATGTTTTAACTCATTACGGAGGGTCTTTCCAATGAGATCTTTTTTATGCATATGACAATAATGTTAATCAAAATTACGCAGATGAAATACTTAGAATGTTTTGAGTCTCATCCACTCATTCTAATCATTGCCGAAACAAATTCAGGAATTAAAATAGAAATCCTCCCCAGTGGAGTCGCCAAAAACTGTAGGGAATATTTCAAGCGTTAATCCCCTAGCTTGAACCCCACTGTGATCATACACTAAAGTACAGTGGCGTCCAAAAGGGAAGAAGATAGAGCAAAAGAGTCGCCAACAAGTTTTAGGAACTTGTAAACCGCTCACGAGGTGTAGGTTACACCCCTTAACGATCCAAGAGATCGTCAACTCCATAAGGTCTTGCCAAATAGGGTTCGGGGATGAAGGTACAAATCCAACCTAAAAGAGATTGAACCTGCCCTAATAATAGGCCTCCACTTTATTCTGATCGTACTCATGTACGCTTTCCGATTAAAATGCAATCAATAGGATTAACCCTAAACCCGTTTATCTATGTTGGTTGAATTTAATGCACAAATAAACTATTGTTGGCGATCACTTGAATTATAATCAAATTACCCTAACAAGATTATTAATTATCTTATTAAGCGTGATTACAAGTACAAATTCCCTTTAAACATGCATAAAAAGCGTAATCAAGCAATAACAATAAATATCAAGCAACATAATAAATCAAAATAATAATAATAATCATAATAAAAATAATCATGTTCATGTTAAAGCATAAGAATAGCAAGATCCTAGGCATGATACTAACAAGATTAATAACAAACCCTAGCATGTCACTAAGCAATAAAAATCATATATTTAGCCCTAACTTGATACTAACAATCATAAATTTTAGGAAGAACATAGGAAGCATCATACTTTTAATCATACTTGATATTAAAGTTACCCCATACATGATACTAGGAATCATAATAACAATCTAAGCATGAACTCTATATCATAACATCAATAAAAACCATTAAAGTACTTACTTTGATGCCTCGTACCTCTTTCTAATAACAAAATACACACGTTAATAACTTCAAGGAAAATAATAATTAAAACAATTAAATTAAATAATGGAAATAGAGATTTGGGACCAAACCCTCAGAAATTAAACCTTTCACGTATAGGGCGAAGGCAACTTCAAATATGGCTAGGTGTATCTAGATCTAATGAATGCGGAATTTTGTATTTGAGAGAAGCTAATTTAGAAAAAGAGAGAGAGAAAGTAATCAAGAGAATCTTGATGAGAGTTGGGAGATTGTAGAAAGAATCGATGATTGTAAGTGAAAACTAGTTATCGAAAACGGAGTTTTTAATACGTTATTTATAATGAAAATCAGCCAAAAAGATAAAATATCAAAACAGAGTTCTGGCGCACATAAAACTGAGTTGGCGCCAACACCGGCCATTGGCGCCAGGCGCTACAGCTGGTGTTTGGCGCTGATCTGGAAATTCACGCATTTTCTTAAAATCAGATAAAAATTTTCGTATAGGAGGATAAAATCGTATTTTTCCTCAAAAATGCTCTTTGATTTTAATTAAAACTCTAAAAAGTCAACAAAAGTCAATTTATCAATGCTAATATAATTAGGAATGAAAAGAACCTTCTAGAAGAATCTAGAAGACTAAAACCATTCCTAATTGCATTAGGAATGATAAATCTATATTAGGCCCTTCCCTAGATGATAGGGCCGCATATAAGGCTCAAATCGGGCCCAGTTAAGTAATTGGCCATAACTTCCTCAATATTCATCGGAATTGGGCTTATAAAATATCGTTGGAAAGCTCTTGTCAAGCCCCGTCCAACTACACTACTGGAATTGGGCTTATAATATATCATGGACCAACCAAACTGGATTGGCTATTTTCTTAAAATAAGTTTTCAAAAACAGAGAGAAGAGAAAAGAAATTAAAACTATCTGCAACACTAAACTTTCCACACTTTCACTTCATTCGATTATGATTCGACGCGAAAGGTACTCATCACTGGGTTTGGTTTTGGGGAGACACAAATGGGTGTTTACAGAGGGTTTATTGGTTGGTTGCAATATATAAGTAGGTTCATATCGAAACTAACAACGATATGCGAACCAATATTCAAGAAGCTCAAAAAGAATGTGCCAGTAATATAGGAAAATGAATGTCAAAAAGCCTTTGAAAAGATCAAATCCTATCTCGCAAATCCTTTCGTATTAGCACCAGCACTTCCAGGGATACCTCTTAGGTTATACTTAATAGTCACCAAGGAGACAATGGGGGCTATGCTCGCACAAGAAGTAGATTGTAAAGAAAATGCAATCTACTATCTAAGCAAAAAGATGCTCGAGTATGAAGTACGCTACACACTGCTTGAGAAATTGTGCCTTGCATTGGTGTGGGCCACAACCAAACTGAGACATTACATGCTCGTGCATACAGACTTTGTAGTTTCTCGAATGGATTCACTTAAGTATCTATTCGAAAAGTCTTCACTCAATGGGCGCATAACAAGGTGGATAGTCAATTTAGCCCTGTTCGATGTAAGATTCATGCCTCAAAAGGCAATCAAAGGATCTGTGGTCTCGGATTTCCTAGCGGATTTTCCAATAGAAGGTTCGACTCCGATACATGACAATGAATTTCCAAACGAAGACTTGATGGTCATAGAAGATGATACTTGGATTTTATACTTCGATGGAGCCTCAAAGCAAAATGGATGTGGCGTTGGAGTATTATTAGTATCACCTAAAGAAGAGCACGTTCCAATCTCCATAAAGCTAGATATCGACGTTACCAGCAACGCTGCTAAATACGAAGCATGCGTGGTAGGCCTTGAAACAGCTTTGGCATTGGGAGTAAAGAAATTACAAATATTCGGAGACTCTTCATTAATCACCAACCAGATTTCTAAAAGATGGAAAGTAAGGAGTGAAAGTCTAGCCCCTTACCAAACTTATCTGGAAACCCTCACCAATCAGTTAGAAAAGGTAGAATACACCTATCTACCTAGAGAAGAAAACCAATTTGCTGATGCTTTGGCAAGAGTAGCTGTAGGGGATAGCTCCTGCTAAGCTATTCCTTCCAGTTAGGCTTAGTTAAGAAGAATATTCCTACAAGAAAAGATTTGGCATGAGTGACCTCATACCACCTCTTGAGGGGCTAGTTGTATGATAGCTCCCGTTGACCTATCGCCCAGCCCCCAGGGTGCGCACTCACTGCCGAGAAAGCAATTAAAGAAGGGCTCACTAGCCCGGCAAAGTCAGCCCGCAGGGCTGACCAGGCTGAACTCTCCACGAAGGAGATGGTACGCCTATAAAAAGAGGGTAAAGTACAATGGAAAAGGGTGAGACACTCAAGTCATTATACTTTCTAGATCTTTCTAAGTACACTTTCTCTCTCTAAACACTCTCTAACTTAAGTTTCGGAGGGGGGTTCCTCGAGCCACCCCCGAGGGCAGTTTACGTGTGCTGCCTTGTGTAGGTATTTGACGGGACCCAGTTCACCCAGCAAAACCCTTGGATCCACACCTGGAACAATTGGCGCTAGAAGGAAGGGAAGGATCATCTAACTAAGGTTCACCAATTGAGCTAGGGACTAGTTAACTAACCACCATGGCTGGAGAAGAAACTGTGCAGACACCCATGTCTAAAACTAATAAGACTAGCCAAACACCACAAAAAACACCCCCAGTAACCATCGATCCAAAAGGATCCACCGGAAACCCCAAATCGACCATCTCGCAGAAATCCAACCCCATCGGATCGACATCAGCTGCTGCTAAAGCGGCGTCGAAACCAGTAGATCCGGTGGGATCCAGTTCCATTTTCAAATATGGAATGTCGTTAACAGGCGCGAACAATGAGCTCATTGTTTCAGCACCTGTAACCCAGAAACCGCAGCCCGTAAATATGTCAGCCATTCTACAAAACCTCTCTAAGTGCAGTAAGGAGCAGCTGGCTGCAATGACTGCGGTCCTCACCAATATGGGTAAGGGGGCGAGTCCGTCACCGACAGCGGCAGCTGCGAAGCCCGTAGCGAAAAAGTCGGCATCCTCGACCCTCACCCCTGAGCATAAAGAGCTCATTCAGCTGAGGAAGAAGGTATTGGAGCTGGAAGCTCGTAACCTGAATCGAGAATGGAGTGTGGAGGAAATAACCCCTACTCAAATCAGCCCGGAGAAGTGGGTCCCCCACAGCAGGTCACCAGCCTCAGAGCGGGGACCCAGCCCGGAGAGAGACAAACGAGCACGAATTCAGGTTGTTCCAGATGATTCCCCATATTGTCGGGAGATTCTGGAGGAACCAATGGAGGAACCACAACACCCAAAAGCCACATGTCAGCTTTTGAGAACCATATCATACTTTACACTATGACAGGCTCATTCTGGTGTAAGGCTTTCCCGCCGACCCTAGAGGGGCTGGCAGCGGAGTGGTATGGATTCATTCCCAAATGTTCCGTATACTCGTACAGCCAATTGAAGAGAATGTTCATGGAGCATTTCATAACCCTGGAAGACCGAACCAAGATGACAACCATCCCAAATATGAGCAAGGAGGTAGCGCTACTAGCAATGTAGAGTGGCTTACTACCAGGATCACCGTTCAGAGCGTATATGGGGCATAAGAGCCTCAAAACATTTGCTAAAGCGCTGGGCAAAGCGCACGAGTTCATTTAAGCAGACGAGACTGACAGAGCAATGCTGGGTAGGAAAGCACCTGGTGACTCAGTTAAGCGGGCAGAGGTCACCCGGGAAGAGAACACACCCAGAGTGGACCAGCCGAGCAGGGCTGAGCAAAACCGAAGGGAAGCGGACAGGGCAGTAGGACTAAGAAGGTCAGACCCAAAGAGAGGGCCAAGGCCTGGGAGGTTTGACCAATATACCCCATTAACCCATTCTAGGTCTCATATATTCAGCGTGAATAAAGCTGATCACAAGTGGCAGAGACCCCCGAGGATGGTTAACAGGAATCGTGATACCCAGCAAGTGGTGTGACTTCCACAAGGACCATGGTCACACCACTGAAGAATGAATACACTTGAAGGACAAAATAGAAGACTTAGTCAGGAGAGGGTACTTGAATCAGTTTAAGAAGCGCGATGACCCTCCCAAAAGGAGGAATGAGGATAGAGCAGACCGCCCTGACCGCAGAGGTCATAGGGGCCCAGCCGGAGATAAAGACATAGATGGCAAGTTAGAAGGCAGGGTGTATGTGATCAGCGGGGGTCCAGTACATGGGGTAACAGTTAATAGAGCACGGGCTGACCTGCGGGCGATGATACATCAAATAAATGACAATGATAAGCGTAGATGGCCACCTCTTCCCTCGCAGCCGCAGGCCACGTTTGACGAGTATGACCAGAAGGGCATAATTTACCCTCATGATGACCCGCTGGTGGTGACAATGAGAATCGCAAACTGGGAGGTGGATAGAATATTGATAGACAGAGGCAGCTCAGCTAACATCATATACATCAGTGCGTTCAACGAGCTGAAGTTGGACAGAAAAGACCAGAAGAGGGTGAGCTACGAAGTCACCAGGTTTAATGGGTCAGGGCTTACGCCAGAAGGTATAATCGAACTCTTAGTCCGAGTAGGGGAAAGATCAAGAAGGCGTGATGTCCGGGCAGAGTTCCTCGTAATAAACTCCCCTTCACCCTACAATGTGATCATGGGAAGACCGCTCATCCACAAGATAGGCGGGGTGGTATCCACCTATCACCTTGCCATGGCCTACACAACTAATGAGGGATGGTCAGCAAAGCTCAGGGGAAGTCAGAAGACAACCCAGCAATGTTACATAACTGCCCTAAAGCAGCCCGTAAAAACCAGACAGCAACCTGGTTCTTAGAGAAGGCCCACTGAGCAACCTGAGAGAAAGTCGAGGAAAAGGAAGCGTAAAGAATATCACAGGGAAAAGGATAAACAGAAGTTAGCAATGGAAAACTTTGATCCTGCAAAAGAGGAAATGGCCAGGCCACTTCCCAATGGGGAACATGTCACAGTCGAGCTCACAGAAGGTGACCCCTCAAGGACGGTGAAAATCGGGAAAGACATTGATCCGAGAGTAGGGGTACACCTCATAGAGCTGCTGAGGAAGAACAAAGACATTTTCGCATTTTCCATAGATGAGATGCCCGGAATTGACCCAGCAGTCATGGTACACAGGCTGAATGTGAAGGAGGATATTATGCCAGTTAGGCAGAAAAAGCGAAGCTTCTCCACGGAGAAAAACCAAGAAATCCACGAGGAGGTAGAGAAGCTCCTGGAAGCAGGATTCATTGAACCTTGTGACTACCCAGAGTGGTTAGCCAATGTGGTCATGGTAAAGAAAGAAAATGGCCAGTGGAGAATAGGCGTTGATTTCACAGATCTTAATCATGCCTGCCCGAAAGAATGTTACCCGCTGCCGCATATAGATCAGCTGGTAGACTCAACCAGCGGGCACGCCTTGCTAAGCTTCATGGACGCCTTCTCAGGGTACCATCAGATCAGCCTGCATGAGCCAGACAGGCAGAAAACTACAATCATCACTGAAAAAGGAGTTTATAATTACATAGCTATGCCCTTCGGGCTGAAGAATGCTGGGGCAACTTTTCAGAAGGCAATGGATAGAGTATTCCTTCACCAGAAGGGTAGAAATGTTGAAGTATACGTTGACGACTCAATTGTTAAGAGCGTCACGCAGGCTGGACATATCATGGATCTGGAGGAAACATTTGCCACCCTGAACAAATATAAAATCAAACTCAACCCGAAGAAATGTGTCTTTGGAGTGAGCTCGGGAAAGTTCTTGGGTTTTATGATTAGCGAGAGATGGATAGATGTCAATCCAGAAAAGGTCGAAGCAGTCCTTAGCCTGCTTGAGCCTAAGTGCATCAAGGATATCATGCGGTTGACAGGCAGAATGGTCGCGCTGACCAGGTTCATCAGCAAGTCAGCGGATAAGGCCCTGTCGTTCTATCAGCTATTGAAAGGGAACAGAGAATTTAAGTGGGGGGCTAAAGAGAGAGAAGCCTTTAAGGGTATGAAGGAGCATCTGACTAAGCTCCCATCCCGGAGCTAAGGGAAAAGCTGCAGCTGTACATCTCTACGTCAATACAAACAATCACAGTCGTTTTGCTGGTAGAAAGACAAAAGCAACAAAGGCCAATATTCTTCGTGAGCCACGTGCTGACAGAGGCAGAGCAAAGGTACCCATTGGTAGAGAAGCTAGCCTTCGCAATAGTCACAAAAGCAAGGAAACTAAAGCCATATTTTGACGCGCATGTAATAGAAGTCCTCACAAACCACCCACTGGAGAAAGCATTACAAAAAATGGATGCATCGGGTAGACTCTTAAAATGGGCAATTGAGCTTTCTGAGTACGAATTCGAGGTCAAACCTAGAGCAGCCATCAAGGCACAAGCTCTAGCAGACTTCGTAGTGGAAGCTTCCTACGAGGAGAAAGAAGATGATATTGGGGTCTGAAAGGTGGAAGTGGATGGGTCCTCGGCCTAAACGGGGAGTGGGGCAGGAGTCATAATGACATCTCCAGAAGGAAATGTATACGAGTATGCCATAAAGTTCAAGTTCAAAGCATCGAATAACGAAGCTGAGTACGAAGCGGCGATGGCAGGCCTGCGTATGAGCCTCGCAGCCAGAGCCCGCAAAGTACTCCTGCAAACTGATTCTCAGCTCGTTGCCTGCCAACTGCAGGGGGCGTATGAGATAAGGGAAGCCACCATGCTGAAGTACGTAACCAAGGTAAAGGAACTGGTAGCCCAGCTAGTCCACTTCCAGATAGACTTGGTCCCCAGAACAGGAAACTCTCAGGCCGACGCCTTGTCCAAGTTAGCCAGCTCCACCTTACAAAGCCTCACAAGGACAGTGATGGTTGAAGTACTAGAAGAAAGCAGCATTGCCGAAAAAGAGCAGGTCAACTGCATTCGAAGGCAGAGAGCCTGGTTCTCAGACATCTTGGCGTACAATGTCCACGGCTCACTGCCCGATGATGAAGCACAGGCTAAGTAGGTGAAGAAAGACGCCAACTGGTATGTAGTGATGAACGGGGAACTCAACAAAAAAGGCTTCTCAAAACCACTGCTGAGGTGTATTCCAGAGTGGGAGCAGGAGGGCATTATGGAAGAAGCCCACTCCAGAATATGCGCCAACCACATTGGTGGAAAAGCATTGGGAGTAGAGGTCCTCAGAAGGGGGGCATATTGGCCAACTCTCACACAAGATGCACTAGCATATGTGAAAAAATGCGACAAGTGTCATAAGTATTCACCAGTCATAAATCAGCCAGCAAACGATCTAACTCCAATCCTCAGCCCGATCCCGTTTGCCCAGCGGGGAATGGACATATTGGGACCTTTCACCACTGGGTCAGCGGCCAGGAAGTATCTCATTGTGGCGATAGATTACTTTACAAAGTGGATAGAAGCCAAACCCACTAAGTACATAAAGGCAGCCCAAGTCAGGACAATCATATGGAAAAACATCATCACAAGATTCAAGAGCAATGGTCAAGCAGAAGCAGCAAATAAGCTAATCCTGACAGCCTTGCAGAAGAAGCTGGAGAAGTACAAAGGCATGTGGGCAGACCTAGTCCAAGAGGTCTTGTGGGCAAACAGGACCACTAAGAAGGAGTCAACCGGTAAGAGCCCCTTCACCCTGGCCTACGGGGCTGACGCAGTTGTCCCAGTGGAAGTACAAATCCCCGGCCTAAGGATACAACACTATGAGCAGCAAGGAAATGAAAAGCGTATGCTGGAAGAGCTAGACTTCCTGCCAAAAGTAAGGCTGAAAGCAGCTCTCAAGTTGGCAGCCCAGAAGAGCAGGATTTCAAAAGCTTTCAACAAGAGGGTCAAGCATAGGAAGCTCATGCCCGGAGACTTGGTCCTTAGAAGGATAGCAGCAGTGGGAAGAGGAAATCAGCATGGAAAGCTATCAGCAAACTGGGAAGGCCCTTTCATCATTCACGAGCAATTTGGACCAGGAGTGTTCCTCCTTGCAGATCAAGAAGGTCAGGTCTTAAGAAACAGTTTCAATGCTGATGTGTTAAAGAAGTATTTTGTTTAAACATTCTGAAAAAAACAAACATAGTTGTTTCAAGTCTGATAAACTCTTATTCAGCCCATGTTATGTTAATTAAGGCATTTGAGCCATTTTTATTAAATGAAATACAAGCCTCTACGTGAGGAGTATGTTGCGTAAATTTGTTTAATATGTTATGCCCAAGCATCATATGCTAACATGCAGAAGTAAAATAAAGACAATAACAAAGTGTTAGAGGCAAGAAGCACTCTAGCGCAAAGTGGCAAAGCAAATGCATCCCTCCCTAGAACCTCACCTGCTCACAGCAAAACAGGGCACCACCTCGGGGACGCCTGAGGGGGAAGCCTGGCACGTTCATCTTGAGCAGGAGAGAAAAGGGGAAAAGAAGAAGATGAGCTATGTGGGCAACACTAAGGCTCTCTTAGTCTCACTTAGCCCATCTCTTTGAGGGGGAGAGGAAAGGAGAAGACAACCAGACAATAAGCCCTTACGAAAAGAAGTAAGTAGGCACAAAATGACAAAGTTGCAGCATAAACAAGCTGAACGACATAAATAAGTCACAGCAAAACAAGCTGAATGACAACTCACAAAATGACAAAGTCGCAGCATAAACGAGCTGAACGACATAAATAAGTCACAGCAAAACAAGATGAATGACAACTCACAAAATGACAAGTCGCAGCATAGGTAAGCTGATCGACACAAATAAGTCTCAGCAGGGGTAGATTAAACAACGCGCAATCGAATAAACCAGCCAGTGCACAGGCAAAACCTCTGGTCAGAGCCAAGTAAAGTGCGCAATGCATAAGCAGTTAAAGCAAATAGAGCAGGAAGGATAAAATGCGACAAAGTTCATGCTAAAGCACAACAGAGTACAAAGAAGCTGGAAAGCGCTAAGCAGCTAAATCAAGAAGACAAGGAAGCCCAACCTACGAGACCCCACCAAATGCAATAAAGACGCTGCAGCGCTAAAATATCTGGATATTGCTAAGAAATGCATAGTTTCAGGCAAATGTGCAAACAATAAAATAAACAACAGGCAAAGCATCAGAAGAAGATCATAAAGAGCATACATTATAAAGCTGAACCTCTGTCCCCCAAGGCAGAGTAAACATTCAGCAAGTCAATCGCGTGACAAATAAAGCTAAGCCCTCGTTCACCAAGACAAGGAAACACTCAGCAGGTAAAGTTAGGAAAACACAAATTCAAGTTAAGCTGGGCAGACCCAGCAATAAAAGACAAAGTATTCAGAAATTACATAGAGAAACATAATCTTTGGCAGCTATAAACCCCAAAGATAGTAACAAAAACTACCTAGTTACAATAAATCTGGGTGAGGGAAACTCATAGGAACCACTAGAGTAGGAGGGTGACAGCCGCCATAACCTTTATTGATCACCAGTCAAGGACTCCACTCCAATAGCTGCAGCAGCGTTAGGGCAGAGAGGCACCTTCAAGTTCAGCACAGCCTGGTTGGGAATCTTGAAGCCAGCAGCACGAGGATGATCAGCAGGGAGGTCAAACAAACCATCCTCACCTGCAGCTTCAACCTTGGCCAAGAAAACGTTGAAGCGAGCCTGTTGCTCCTCACCTTCACCATATAAGCTGCTAACGCACCGAGCCGCAGCTTCCCATCCACCATCATGGCAATCAGCTAATAGCTTAGAAAAAGCAGGAGAGAGCGCAAAAGATCTGAGAGCCTCTTTCCTAGCAGCTTCCAGCTCAACAGTATGTGCAGCTTGCAGATCTGCAATTTCCGCCTCCAACGTCTTCACCCTGGCCTGTGAGGTCCCCAACTGTTCCTCGCAG